GGGGATTGAACACAGGACCTTAGAGTGGACTACGTTTTGTTCCTGGCCCCTTGCTCTCTGGTTCTTCCTCTGCTCTCTGCTTCCCAGAAGCCGTAGATTGAGCAAGTTTTCTCTGCCATGATGTTCCCACCTTGGAGCCAGCAAGCCCTGGGCTGAACCCCCTGAAATCCTGAGCCATAATAAACCTTTTCACCTTGAAATTGTGTACGTCTGGTATTGTGTGCCCCAACAGGAAGCTAACTAGTATGGAAGACAGTGCTAGCTGGGAGTGATGGCGCTCCACTGTCATCCCATCCCCTGGGAGGCTGAGACAGGAGGATCACCATGAGTTTGAGGCCAGCTTGGGCTATAAAGTGAGACCCTGTCTCAAGAAACAAACAAAACCTCCCCAAAACAGTCCTTTCTGCAGGTGGATTCCCCTCTAGAACTTTTTCCTGTTTCTCAGGACTTCTCTGGGGGTGGTGGCAAGAGGAAAGAGGCTTGTTATCATAAAAGAGGGAACAGTGAGCAGGGGTCAGAGGTGGAGGTGTGGCCTCCTGGGGTCTGCTCCAGCTATCAGCTCCCCCTTCCATTGTTCTGTTTTGTTTCATTTTTCCTTTTTTTCAGACAGGGTCTGTCTGGTACAGGGATTAAACCACAGGGCCTATGCACTAGGCTATATTTCCAGCTTTTTTTTTTTTTTTTTTTGAGATGGGGCTTTGCTAAATTGCCCAGGTTAGGCTCAAAGTTGAGATTTTCCTGCCTCTGCCTCCCAGCACGCTGGGATGACATGCGCTTGCCATCAATCATGTGTGCCTGCACCAGATCTGGATTGCTTACTGTTGCTTAGGTGCCAGGTGCTTGTCACTCGGAGCCTGCAGGGACCTGCTACTCCTAGGAACCCCTGGGGGCTGGGGATGCAATTAGTCTGTGGTCTTGGTTATTTCCTGGGGTGCGACTGTCCCTCGGGTCCTTTGGCAGTAATGTGAGTGTGGATGTCAATGTGGGCCCGTCCTTAGGTCTCAACGGGGCAGAGTATTACAGGAAAGAATTTCTTTGGGCCAAGGGAACCCCTTAACCCAGGGGTTCCCAACTGGGTGAGACCTTAGCTGGTGTCTGGGGACATCTGTGGCCGTCACATGGGGCAGCTCCTGGCACAGAGTGGGTGGAGGCGAGGGACACTGCTTAGCATCCTGAAGGGCTGGGCGCCCAAACACGTCCTCCTGCGCTGCAGGAAGCCCTTCTCAGGGTGGTGCAGGGCGAGCACAATGGAGATAGCTTTGTTTTCATTTTTTGTTTGTTTTTTTTACAATAACACAGGCAGTGTGTCCCCAGGGTAATCTGTCAAAAAAGCCGGACACATAATGGAAAAGAACCCATCCCACACCCACATCTAGCCGTTAATGGTCGGTCCTTCAGGCTGGCCTTGAACTCACGGGTAGCCTGGGCTGGCCTGGAACCATCAGTGGTCCTCCTGCCTCAGTCTTCCTAGTGTAGGGATTACAGGCGTGCACACTGTGCCAGCACCTTTTTTTTTTTTTCCCCAGTATTTAGGATTGACCCCAAGGCCTTTGCACTGAGTGATATCCCCAGCTTTTCTTATTTTTAAGATTTTGAAACAAGGTCTTACTGTCTCTACGTTGCCCAGCCTGGGCACGAACTTTCGAGCCTCCTGCCTCAGCCTCCCACAGTGCTGCAGTCATCAGGCTTGTGCCGGGAACCCAAAGGTGCAGCCCTGGAGCATGAGGCTCCGGATCCCAGCAAGGCCTGCCTGTCTCGGTGTGTGCATTGTTCTCTTTAGCTGAGAGAAGGTCTCACTGTCCCCACATCAATCCCAGGGGTCCAGAAGACGACGCCGGAGGTCACCCAATGTCCCATCTGTTCTGTTCTGCCTTTGTCTCCCCAGCCGGCTTTCTGTCTCTTGATCTCCATGGGTCCCCACCTCTCGGAGCTCCTCCCGCTCTGCTCCCCCAGACTGAAGCTATTTTCTCCTGCAGAGGAGGCTGGCGGTGTCTTTGTGGGTCCTTTTCATCTTGTGTCCTCGGGGCCGCCTCACAACCCCTAGGACTAATTAAGGTATTTTCCTAAACAAGCCTCGGTGCGTCTCTAAAATGAATTCTGATGCCAGCTGGTATATTAATTTTCTCTCCCCTATCGTTTATAATACAGGACGAATGACACAGGCTGTAGCAAGCCAGTAAGGACATGACAATGTAAAAAACATTGCCTGTCACAGCCCGGTGTGATGCCTCACGCCCTGTAGGCCCAACTACTTGGAAGGCTGAGGCAGGAGGACAGAAGGTTTGAGTCCAGCCTGAACAGGGAGGCCCTGTCTCCAAAAAATAAATTCTTTTGTCTTTTTTTTGGGGGGGGTGGTGTACCGGGAATCAAACTCACAACCTCGCGCTTGCCGGGGAAGCACTGTGCCGCTGAGCTAAAACCCCAGCCCCCTTTTTTGTCTTTTTGAGACAGGCTCTCACCAGGCAGTTCAGGCTGATCTTGAACTCACTTTGTAGCCCAGGCTGGCCTTGAACTGGCAATGATCCTCCTGCCTCAGCCTCCTGAGTGCTAGGATTACAGGAGTGCGCCACCACGCCTGGCAAGAAGAATAAAATTTTAAAGGGCTGGGGATGTATTATAGCTCAGTGCAGAGGCCTTGGGGTCAATCCTAAATACTGCAAAATCCTAAATACTGCATATCCCCAATATGTTGATGATGATGATGATGATGATGCCTGGACATGGTGACAGTGAGGCACACCTATAATACCAGCACTCAGGAGGCTGAGGCAGGAGGATCAATATGAGTTCGAGACCAGCCAGGGTTACATGGTGAGTTCATGGCCAGCCTGAACTACATAGTGAGACCCTGTCACAAACAAACAAACAAACAACAAAAACCCACAATAATAATAATGATGCAGGAAGTGTCCCTGCCTGTCTGAGGACATTTTGGGGCAAGTCCCTGGATGGGGATACTGCTAGATCGGAGGGCCTGAACATGGCCTAAGGATTGTGAAGGTGCAGAAATGCACCAATTCATCTCCCCAGAAGCCCCATGATGCCGCGGCCCCGTCACATCATGCATGAGGGCCAAACAGGGTGATTTCTCTCATTCTGTTAATGTGATGAGGGGTAAAAATGTATTAAGTGTGGTACTTAACTAAAGGCATGTTGGCACATGCCTGTAATCCCAGCACTTCGAGGCTGAGGCAGAAGGACTGCTTCAAGTTTGAGGCCAGCCTGGGCTATATAGTGAGTTGAAGGCTAGCCTGAACTGCATAGCGAGACCTTTTCTCAAAAAAACAAAAAAATCCACCCTACATGTGGCATACCTAGTGAGCAGAACGGAATCTGTTTTCTTTCCTTTTTTTTTTTTTTTTTTTGGTACCGGAGATCAAACTCAGGACCTTGCACTTGCCAGGCAGGTGCTTATGCTACTGAGCTATATCCCTGGCCTGGAATCTGTGTTTTCTAAAATGACCAAGCTGGGACATCAAAATTACCTTGGAGTGGGGACAGGGACTCCCATCCACCCAAGGCCCTAATTAGGCCATAAGGGGACCACAGTGGGAACCTGGGCGTCACCTGACCTTGTTAACACTGAGCTACGCCACCTACATGCATGGGGCTGTGTCCCCACGTGAGTTCAACAGATGTCCAATTGCAGCTCTGTGGATGTCACCAGCCCTGACCTGGGAGTGTAGTACTAGGAGGGAGGGCTGTTCCTTAGTGTCACCTGGCAACCCTAGCACAAGCCAGGGGCCACTCAGAGCCAAGGACTGGCTTCCAGTGTGTTCTAAATCTCCAGCCCTAGTAACCACCTCTTCCACTTGAACTGGAAAGAAGAGGGAGGGACATTGCTGGGTACTGGGGAGGCTGGGGCAGGAAGGCTGGGGCAGGATAGCTGTGAGTTTGAGGCCAGCCTGGGCTGCACGGTGAGGTCAAGGCCAGCCTAAACTGCACAGTGAGAACTTAAAAAAAAAAAAAAAAAGGAAGACATCAAGGGACACTAGTCAGCCGCCTCCCTATCTGTGACCCTGTGACCTTTACAAGGTCCCTGGTAACCTGGGTAGAACATGGAGACGGCCTTCGGAGGACTGACTCTTGTGGGTGCCACTTCGACACTCCTCAAAGCCCCATGTTCAGTCTCTGACCACTGTCTCGTCACTGGTGTCACGGGGTGGCAGCAGACCTTTCCTAGGCACACAGAGGACCATGTGTTGAAGTGCGGGCACTGGGGGCCCGGATGCTGCTCCTTCCCTCCCTGCCAACCAGTTAGCCCCGGGATCTGTGGGGACCCTTAGGAGACCGGGAAGTCCACTTTGCACTCCCAGTTGTCACTTCTGGCCCTTATGCCTCTCTCCCACTGGACATGGTGGAGCCACATTCAGGGTCCCTTTCCACAGCAGGTCCTTGGGTGTGGGACAAACAAACGAACTTCCTGAAAAAACGCCCTGCTGGGCGTGGTCGTCCACCCCTGCCATCCCAGCACTCTGGGAGGCTGAGGTAGGAGGATCTCCAGTTCCAGCCCAGCCTGTGCAATTTAGTGAGACCCTGTCACAAAGTAAAAATTTAAAAAAGGATCTGCATGTAGCTCTGGGCAAAAACTCTGGGTTCAGTCCCCAGTCCTGGGGGCGGGGGCAACCTCATGCACCCTGCAGTAGACAGGAAGTAGGCGCCCTGATTTTTGCATGTGCATCTACTTTCCCACAAAGATAAGGGTGACTAGCTCGGGGGTGTGACAGGACGACTAAGAGGGACAGCGTGGAAAGGTTGACGCCCTAGTAGGGCAGAGCATTGGGTACCCTAGCCTGCTTTTCTGCGCATGTGCAGGAAAGTGAACATGGTGGAGGGGGCGTGCGGCGAGGGCGTGGCATGTACGTCTGGGGGCGGGGTCGAAGGCGGGGCGACGACGCGCGCGTCTCATTGGGTGACGGTAGAGGTGGGGTTTGGCGCCGCCGCGAGGCAAGCACCGCCCCCGGCCCACGGGGAGCGGCGCGTCGGCGGAGGCGGTGAGCGCGGGGGCGGGCGGCGGCGGTTGGTGGGCGCCGTTTGGGGCGCCGCAGCCTTGTTGCCTGGGCTCTGGCGTCGCTCAGGGCGGGCCTGGGCGCCGGTGAGCCCGGTACGGGTCGCCTCTTGGTTGCGCTGGGCAGGTTGGAGGCGGCGTGGGCCGGCGGGCCTGGGGGAGGGGCGGCTCCTGCCAGAGAATCGTCCCGGTGGGCGCTGGGTGCCTCCTGACCCTAACCTTACCTGTGCCTGAATCCCTGTTTTTGCAGCCCGAACTCCCTTTACCTCCCTGTGCTGCCCGGATCCCGTCCCTGAGGCCGGATCCCCGTCCTTGCACCCCTCGATCCCGGGCTTTGCAACCCCCCCAAGGCTCCCGCCCCTGCTCCCCGAACCTCCATCTCTGTGGCCTAAATCCCCATCCTTGCTGCATAAACTCCGTCTCTGCAGCCTGAACCCCCATCTGCCACTGCCTCAATCCCTCCACCTTTGCCTGAACTATCTCCTTCGAACGCCCTCCTGCTGCTGCTTTGCATCCCCCTTTTGCTGCTGTGAACCCCTCTTTGCAGCTTGATCCGTCTCCTGCTGCTGTGAACCCCACCACACCCACACACACCCCTTTCCATTTCTGCCCACAGCCATGGGAGTGTCTGCCACGAACATGGTGCACATTCTGCAGCTGTCCCCATCCTTTGAGGGACATGGCAGCCAAAAGCCCCGCTGTCGACCTCTCCAGGTTTTGTGGGCTGTGGTCACTGAACCCCTGCAGGAGACGGGGTTGTAAGCTCTGGTTGTTTAAAATGCCTCCTGTGCCCAGGTCGGGGGCAGGCAAGCCTTTAACGCGGAGATGATTAATTCAGGAGCTTTTTAAAACTAAATCTGGATGGAACCTTGAGGAGGGAAATAGCTTTATTTCAGAGGGGGGGGATAAAAAGCAGGCACTTCCCCAGGTACCGAGGCCATGCATTTTTGTCAGTCCTTTTGGACTCAACCTGGGGTTGCAGAATTGCACCTCAGGCTGGAGTAGAAGCCAAGCTCACCTTTGCCCTGGAGGGCTGCCTCTGCACTAAAATCACAGCAAACATTTCCTAAACCACTGCGCACATTTTGTTGCAGGGCACATCAGCAGCAGACCTTGAAGCACTTTGTTTGTGCCAAATCATTACCACTTGCCACATGAGTCTAAATCATGACGGATGCCAAGTACGTCCTCTGCAGATGGGAAGAGCGATTATGGCCTGCAAAGGTGACAGCCATTATTCTGTAATTTCGGGAATTAGAAATGACTTTCGGGTGACAAGTAAAATCTCTATCAGACTCTGAAATCTAGGAGTGGCTTGGGTGAAATAATTGAACCTGAACAGTTGGCTTCGGAATCTGCTGGCACCGATTCCCAATCCCCACTTAATGGGGTTTTGGTCTAGTGCTGATGAGGTTCTACTTCTGGAAGTGTCTTTTTTTTTTTTCCACACTTAGAAAGATGCAGAAAAAATAACAGAGTCAGCTATAAAAAGGCATGTAAGGCTCTGACTCAGGGGAATTTCTGGCAGGAAGCCCCGTGATAGTAAATACCAGCGATGTTTGGGGGATGCCTTCCAGCAATTCAGGAGGAAATGCTGGACTGAACAGCAAAAGGCTGGGTCCTGCACTGGGATCGTCACTGGCCCCGTGCCTCTGTTTCCCTATCAGACTTAGAGAGGATTTGACCTGGTGTCCCTGAAATCCTGTGGTTGTCCGCCTCAAGAAATACTTGCTGTCCTTGTATTCACGAATTGCCTGTTTCTTTTGTCAATCGTTTTGTCTTAATAACAAGAATTTTTGTTTTGTTTTTTAAAAGTAGGTTTTGGACGGACCTAAGACTTCAACAAACAATAAGGGAGAAAAAGAATCCTTTCTAATTGTCCAAATACTCTCGCTAGATGAAAAGTTAAGTGTTGTATTTTTTAAGTACTGGTTTTTTTCTGTCCAGGGTTTCTGGTTCTTACACCTGCCACCCACACGGTCTTGTTTTAAAAGCTTATTAACTCTTCAGTTAGTATCACTCATTTATGATATCGCCCTGATATCCTTATGAGGCCAGAGTTGATTTTCTTTGATGCTAGTTTGAAAGTTGGAAGATCGAAAAAGGGCTTCCTGTGCAGAGAGATGGGTACAAAACATGAGTGAACAGAGATTATACGCGAGGTCCACACAGGGACATTTCTTCCCAAAGGCTGAACGTGTCTCGTTTCAGAAACCTCTGTGGGAGGCCCAGTGATTTTTGACATAGATGGTGTTCGAGGCTGTCACCCCAATAAAAAACTCTAGCACATCGGTGGCTTTGGGGCATACAGTTCTGCCCTTCGCTACCTGGTGAGGGGAAGTTGCAGGCCATCTGGATGGATGGTGATTAGTGTGCCCAAGCGGTGTGGGATTGTAGCTTTGGCACGTCGTGTGTCAGATCGGCCACTTCTGAAAGAGCCAGTCCCCTGGCTGCCGCTGGCTCTCTCTTCGTCGCCTTCCTCTCTCTGTCTCCTGCCCGCTCCTCCCCGTCTCCTGAGCCCGCCTGGCCCCAGCTCGGCTCTCCCTGCGGCTGGGAAGGTAATTGAATACTTGAGTTTAAAAGGAAAGCGCATCCTTTTAAACTAAAATGCGCCTGCTGGGCTGTAAACAGCTTTTAGTGACATTATGGGCTACTCGGAAAACCTAACAAAGGACTTATTTGTGCAGTTGAAAGTAGGATTTGCCTCATAAAAGTCACAATTTGAATTCATTTTTACTCTTAACGCCAGCCAACCTTTTCTGTTTTAAAAGAGGAAAAAAAAAAAAAAAGGAGGAAAAAAAAAACCCTGCCACATGCATCAGGGTCCTAACTGCCTCTAACCTCAGGCAGGAGAATTCCTAGTTGGCTGGGACTTTTGGTGTAAGTGGAAGGTTGAGGAGGAAAATGAATTTAATTCTTTTGTCATTTAAAGAAAAACATGTTTGAAAATGTCTTTGGCAGCCTTGGCTGGTGGCGTGTAACGGTCGTTTTCTGTCTCTGCAGAATTAAGGTGAAGAGCGCGGAAGTTGAAACCCTGAAGAAGTCTCAGATTGAGAGCATTGCCTCCTCCTTGGGTGAGACTGTTTCCAGGGGGCCATTAGGTCTAATGGGATGAGAGGGAGTTTGCAAGAATTTAAGGACTCCGCTCTGTAGGTAAAAAACTGCCAAATACACATTCCCATAGGAGGGAATGTGAGTGAAAGAAAAGAAAAAAATGAATTTGCTTTCATAATCCTTTCTAAAATGTGCCCTTAGAGCCAGTCTTACTCTTTTTGTGGGGGTGAATTTTTTTTTTTTTTTGAAACAGGATCTCACTATGTAGTCCAGGCTGGCCTTGAACTCTTGGTGATCCTCGTGCGTCAGCCTCTTAAGTGCTGGAATGACGGGTGTACATCACCACACCCAACTTTTTCTTTTTCCTTTTTTTTTTTGCGGTGCTGGGGATGGAACCTAGAGCCTTGCATATGTCAAGTTATCACTGAGTTAACATCCTCAGCCCTTTTTATTTTCAATTTGATGTGGGTCTTACTAAGTTGCCCAGGTTGCCCTTGAACCTATGGGCAACGTGGCTCATCTCTCTGCCTCACCTTCCCAAATAGCTAGGATGATGGGTATGTACCACTGCGCCTGGCCTGTAGTCCTATTCTTTTGACACAAGGTTCAAGGCCATCTCTGTCCATTGTGGCTGGCTGCGCTCCGAGGTCGTGTAGAAGTGCTTCGGTGAGGAGGGTCTTTTCCTTTTTTCTCTGCCCATCCACAGTGGGACGGTAAGGTGACCCTGTTACCTTCTGGCTGGTCTGGTCCCCACCTACACTTGGAGGCTGTGTTTGCCATGCCAGAGGGGAGCGCAAGGGAGCAAGGACAAGTGGCCTTGTGCCCGTGGTGGTGGCTGGCAGTGTCTTTGCCGATGTGGGCCATGCTGGGTGAGTGGGAAATAGGCCTTAGTTCTTCCTCCATGATGCTTGAGTGAGCATCTTCCCGCCTGCATTTTGTAGCTGAAAAGTGACTTTGTATGAGCTCTGCCACGCAGGGACCTGCCGCGCACACGCACACACAGCGCGGCAGCGGCAGCACCTAGCCCCAGCTCAGCAGACCCAAATGCAGAATTGTTTCTCCCTCAGAGTGGGAGTATCTGTTCTGCTGGCCAGGAATTGTTGGTCTTGTGAAAACATAGACCAGACTTCTTTCCCACGGCATTTATAAAAGCAAGATCCAGTTCCCTGGGTCCCCAGGAAAAAATTGCTATTGTTGGGAGCAGGCTCCATCCCTGCCTGCCGCAGGTGGCGCTGACCATGTCCCTGATGGCGTCCTTGTCGTGGGTTCCGACCGTGTTGGGGGGCTGGTTACTTGTTGGCGCTTTTAATATTAAACAGGGGCAAAATACTGTTTGGATTGAGGCATTATGCCCGCTGAGTTGTGATATTACATCCATCATCTTGTTCAAATAAGTAGCGCCGTGTCTGTATGTCGGAATGAATAAATAAAACTGTTGCGGCGGGGAGGATGGGCTGGAGAGTGAGGCCCAGGATGAGCTTTTCTGGCTTTGAAACGCCCTTGCAAAGAAGTGAAGAAAATGTCCCAGCCCACAATGAGTCTTTTTAATCGGTCGAGTCTTACCCTCCCACCCCAAGAATACGCTGCCAGCAGCATCCTTTATTTAGTTGGCATTGGTTTTTATTGACCCTGATTGAATTTGAAATTGTAAGGCAGAGAGAGGATTTGCAAAACATTTGAATACATTTTGTTCACAGTAGTGTTTTGTAACTTGGAGGAATTTATCTTTTTAGCCAATCAGGTTAAGGTCAGTACATTTAAAAAAAAAAAAACAAAAAACTTAAAAAAAGATCGCAGCCCTGAATGAATAGCTGTCTTGTAGCTTTGTCCCCTTTTCAGGGAAAACGAGAACTGTTAGGCCTGCCCTTCACTCACTTGCGGACGTAGGCTAGCGGGGACAATTGGACAGCGGAGCTTTTGAGGCCAGGCTGTGACAGTGCCCACGTACCTGGACATAACTGGGCGCTGTGTCCTTCCTGTCACTACAGCCTCGCAGAACGAGGTCCCCACTGCACCCCTGAAGGAGCTGACCTACAGACGCTCGCTGCGGGTGGCCCTGGATATTTTGAACGAGGGCAGCAGTTTGAATCAGGAAAGCACCTCAAGGAGAAATGGATCTGCTTGGTGTCAAAGGGAGAAGGAGCCCACCGAAGCGGCCTCCTCACTCCGTGACGCGCTCTGTTCTTTCTTCCGTGAAGATGTGTCGGCCAGTTCTGGTGAAAAAGTCCTTGAGTTCAAAGTGGACCACAAGAAAGGGCCGGGGAACAGTGAGACCCCAGGGGCCCGGTCGGTGGCTCCATCTGGGGCCGGCCCTCAGGATGCAAGTGAGTGGGGCCACCGCACAGGTCACGCTCCCACCAGGAGGAGGGGGAGGAATTTGGCCCAGAGGTCCAGCCGGTGCCAGGAGGCACCTGCCCTTTCCGGGGCGCAGAGCGAGGAGCAGAGCACAGGCCGGGCCTCGCTGCCCCGAGCCCGGGAGGAAGACCCGTGTGCCCGAGCCGAAGGCCACGACCCTGGTTTGCCATCGGGCAGCCTCACAGTGGTCCCAGCCCCGGAGAGGGCCGGAGGGCCACCTGCAAAAAGGCTGTGCCTGAGGCCACCTGCCACACAGCTGGAGCCGGTGCTGTCCCCCAGGCTGCGGCCCCAGGGGTACATGACCCTGCGGAGCGCCGACACCAGCCCTTGTCCCTCAGACACTCCAGTGGAGGACACGCGGCCCCCTTTTCTCCAGGACAGTGACAGCGACAGGCTGGAGGAAGGTAAAGTGTACGGGGCAGATGCCCTGCCAGCCGGGGTGGGGGAGCCGGAGCTGGGCTCTGCCAGGCCAGACTGGCAGGCGGGCACCAGGGTATTTTTAACCAGATCGTAATGAAACCATTACCAGAGTAGATCGAGAGCAGAGATTTCTGTTCCTTTGTGTTTGTCTCCCCACTGAGCTATAATTACTTACAACTTCTCCCAAATATTTGTTTTTATTTTTGTTTTTGACTGGAGGACGGGGAGCCCGGTGTGGGCTGCTGTGACGCTGGGGCGGGGGAGCGCTGGGAGCGCTGCGTCTCGCCCCAAGGATTCACTCTTTATTCTTTTAACCCTCGCACAGCTCAGATGCCTTCCCCTGAATGAGGCAGGATGGGTGGAAGGGCCTGACTTGCGGAACTCTGGCGCCGTGGCCCTGTGTGTGCTTGCGGGTGCGCACTGGCTTTTTCTGTCTTAACCTCGTATTGTCCCACTTACTCTTGAAATGCTAATTCAGAAATGCTAACTACTGCATAGTCGGTCAGGCGCCTGAGCCCTGCCTACTGCAAACGCAGGACAGGGATCTCAGCGTTGTGCAACCTCTTCCTTGAGGCCGTGTCCCTGTGCCTGTGATGGCTGCAGGAGCTGCTTGTCCTGTTCCCCGCCAGGGACGGCACCCGTGCCTGCCCTGCTTTGTAGCTAGCTCTGGGACTCCGGGACTCCATTCTCTGTGTTGCCCCTCAGTGCTTTGGGCTGTGAAGGAGCCACAGCAAGACAAAAGGAATTCCCGTCCAGAGCTGCTGCCTCTCATGGCATCTTCTCCTTAGGACGTGAAAGGCTGTCCCTGTCTCTGTCTATCTCATGTTTATTTTTCTTGAAAATGCGCTTGGGGCTGGGCCCTTGCCCTGTATGCACAAGGCCCAGAGTTCCATCCACAGCACCAAAAACAGAATTACACAAACTGTACTTGAACCTCGGTGCCGTCTGAATGGCGGGTGGTGCGGGATCTCCTCCTTGTGCACTGATACAGCCCAGGTACCTTGCAGTGTTGTCTTGAGATGCCTCTCTCGGGGACAGTGCAGCCCAGTGACAGTCTCCCCTCACATCATTGGCAGATGCTCAAGCTTTTCAGGAGCACATGGAATTTAATTCCAACAACTCCATCGTGGATGAAGAGGATGACGATGAGGAGCCTCCGAGAATCCTTTTCTATCACGGTAAGGGGGGACCCGAGCTTGGGCCTGGGGTTGGCATCGTAACATGGATTGGGAGAGCGAACACACAGAAGAAATGCGGGCCGGTGTCCCCAAACCACTTCTGTCTCCCAGAGAGGTTCCTACCGTCTCGTTTATTTCCTACTGAATGGAGCCCCGGTGGGGTTGCTGGGCAGGGCTGTGTTTTCTGTGTTACACAAAGAGAAGAAAGGGGGTTCCCCGGGAGAGGCCAGCGCTGGCCAGCAGCTTGTGGCTCCTTTGCTCTGCCTGCAGCACAGGTCCTCCCGTCCCCTCTGTGGGAAGAGGGACGGCAATGAGGAGCAGGGCTCTATCGCCCTCCTTTGGGTGTGGCCGCACACTGCCTCAGCACAGCCAGCCGCCTTGCAGAGGCGTGGGGACAGCTGTCTGAGCACCCCTCCCACAAGCCGAGGTGCCCCAGAGCCATCAGGGCAGAAAGGCTGGGCGCTAGGGCCAGAGGGGGAGCCGGTGCCAGGCAGGGGGCCCGGGAAGAACCGAGTGCCCTTGTCGGTACATCCGTCTTTACCTGGGGCGACACTTACCTCCAATTTGGGAAGAATTACGGATTCCAGGATGGTGCAGAAACAGTGCGAGAAGGTGTGGCGGGCATGTCACCAGCGTCCCCCACTGGAGACAGCCGCGGAGCTGCAGCTCCCGTGCACCATGCTTGAGATGTGGGCTCCTCGAGTAGCCTTTCCTTTGTTCAAGCTGCTGGGTGCATGTCATCATTAAATAAACACAATTACAATTCTTTTCCTCTTTTTTTCCCCATGAACTGCTAACTCAGACTTTTTTTTTTTTGCATTTCTACATGGTCTGATTGTCCTTAGTGGTGACGTTTGTTACCAGGGCAGTGGGTCATCCTGCACCCAGCTCTCCCTCGGCAGCCTGTCCCCTCTTGTCCCACAATGGTGGCTGCTTCCACCTACCTGCCGTGGCTTTCTGGGGAGTCATTTCATGGATTGATTCTCTTAAGTGGGCTGTGTTACCGAAGCGAAGGCTCCTGTGACTTCCATTGCCACCAGCGGGGTCGGGGTGACCCAGGACAGCCTCACACCCTGCAGCATTTTGTTTGCTTTTTTCTCCTGCCAGGGCTAGAACCAGTGTCTGCTGCCCGGGGGGTCAGATGTCACCTGTTGGATGAGACTGTCCCCGAGCGCTGACCACAGCCCGGCTCCATGCCAGGCCCTCGGGCTTAGGAAATCCGAGTGTCTCCACAAGGGGACGTCGCCGGTCTCGAGTCACAGCTCGCCTTACCTGCTTTGCTTCCCTCGTCGTGTGCCTTCTATTTTTTTACTTCACACACCTCTTGGATTTTTCACAGCCAAATACAGCAGCTTCCTCCTTCTCCTTCCCGGTCAGATCGCCTTAGCCCCGTGTGCCCAGGAGCAGCCTCGGCTGTCTGCTGGTTTTCCTGTTACTTGGCTTTTAAACTTTTAGGTTATTCGCTTATTCTGGGGTTTCTTTCTCTCTTTTTTTTCTTCATTGTTTTTGTTTTTTGAAGCTGTTTCCCTGCCTCAGCCTCCTGAGTGCTCCATCCCTCCTGGAGGACAGATGTTTACCTCCTGGGCCTGGCATGGGGTTTTGCGGGGGTAGGAAATTTTGTTTGTAAGTAATTTTGTGATGACTTAAATAATTTCCCACCCGTTTTCAGGCCCTCCTTTCTCCATTGTGCCTATTCGAAATGAACTCCGTAGGCCTTGTTCTTCTTGTTTGCCATTAGCCGATTTCCATTTTATCCCACTCTCTTTCATTTTACGTATTTTTGGGGGCTAGGAGTGGAGCCCGTGTTCTCATGCACACCAGGCAAGCTCGTTCCACTGCTGAACCGTACCCAAGCCTGAACCATACACTTAAATTAAAAAAAAAAAAGGTTTGGTTTTGGAGTACAATTGTGCAGTACTGTGAGATTTACAGAAATTGTAAATACAGGAGCCAGGGCATCTGTGTGCCGCTCTTGACAGCACCTGCCCTGAACACCTGCCCAGCACCACGCAGAACCAGTGTCACCTGTCCTGGGTCTCGAGGCTGGCAGTGTCCTCAGTGACATGGGGTACAGTACTGCCTCGAAGAGGCTTTTGACCTCCTGGGTGAATTGTGTTATAGCTAAACAGTGTCAGGAGAACTGTGGTTTTTTTCCTAAAGCTCTTGTGCTTACTGCTTGATAGGAATTTGACTTGTCTCTTTTCTCTTTTTTGTTTTTCTTTTCTTTTTTTTTTTTTAAATTTTAGAACCGCGTTCATTTGAAGTAGGAATGCTAGTCTGGCTTAAATACCAAAAATACCCGTTCTGGCCAGCAGTGGTAAGAGCAACCTCTTTACCCCTCCATGAGTTGGTCCCTGCGTCCAGGGCTCCCCCGTCCTCTGACCTGGGTGGGTGGTGTCCAGCTTTTGTTATTGCTGGAAAGCTTAGTGGAGTGGTAAGAAAGAGGACCGGGGACACAATTCCCTAACAAAGGGGCTCAAGGGGCTGGGCATTTAGCTCAGCGGCACAGTGTCTGCCTGGCAAGCATGAGGTCGTGAGTTCGATTCCCGGTACCGGAAAAAAAAAACCGGAAAAAACAACAAAAAAAAAGATAGGGGCTGGGGGTTTAGCTCAGCTGCAAAGCGCCTGCCTGGCAAGCGCAAGGTTGTGAGTTCAATTCCTGGTACTGGAAGAAAAACAAAAACAAACAAACAAAGGGGCTCGATCACTTTGGCGCAATTTAGTGTGAGGTGCACAGGCCAAATTTGCACCAGGTGGACTTAGAAAAACCTACTTTAAAAAAGTGTTATGTGCTGGGTGTGGTGGTACACACGTATTATCCCAGCACTACAGGGAGGAGGATCACCTCCTGTGGCAGGAGGATCACCAAGTTCCAGCCAAGCCCAGGCTACTTAGTGATTTAGAGACCCTGTCTCTCAAAAAGAGGTTGGGGGTGTAGGTCAGTGAGAAGCCTCTGGGTTCAGTGCTCAGTACCACTAAAAATAAGAAGTGTTAGCCGTTGCTCACGTTAAGTATTGTGCAGTTCAAGTTTTTTCCCCCGTTAAAGCTCATCAGTTTAGGTTTTGTGGCTGGGCTCAGTTGTCTGCGTATAGGAAGAGCTGCTTGCAGGCGGGAGCAGAAGTTCTCTTATGGGGTCCGTGAGCCCAGGCGAGGCCAGGGTCACCTCTGTGCTCCTGGGTGCGGCACATTGCTGATTACTTTGGGGGGACAAAGGTTCTTTCTGGGCCCTTTTTTTCTTTTTCTTTTTCTTTTTTTTTAGGGCCCTTTTTCCCCCTCCTTTACGTTTTCTCCTCATGCTCCCCTGTGTCATACTGCACACACAGGGTTCTAATTATTTTAGGTGCAGTTGTTCAGGTTTTTAATTTTTTTTTTTACTTTTTCATTTAACTTAATTTTAGTTTTTGCAGTTCTGGGGTTGCACCCAGGACCTTGCGCAGGCCCGGCAAGTACTCACCACTGGTCTGCGCCCCCAGACCTGGCTGTTTATAATTTTTGAATCAAGAAGCAATGATGTTTCTATCCAGAAGGTTTTTGTTCTGCAGTCAGCAAGTGTCGCTTTGGCTGTGTTAATGGCCCTGACCTGAGCCACATCACCAGGGTGTCCACATGCACAGCTGGCTGTGATGGCAGAAAAGGGCTCAGTCTGTGCCACCCAAGTGTGCAGATGAGCAGGGACCCACGGGTGCCCCTTGGCCTGGCCAGAGGGAGTCAGCATGTGGGGCTCCTCCTGACCTCGCAGGCACACAGCCTTCTCCCTGCAGCTTTCTAGTGCACCCTTGTTTCTGTCTAGGTCTGGGGTCCCTGCTGCGCTGGCAGTCACTCCTGTTACCAGGTCTGGGCCCAAGAGCCCATGGTTTAGGACTGTGATGTTGGGCTGGGGATGTGGCTCACTGTTACAGCCCTTGCCTTTCGTGCAGAAGGCCCTGGGTTCTATCCCCAGCACCACAAATAAAGGAAGGGGGCAGAAAGGACGATGATACATGGTCTGCCAGGCTGCTGGAGAGCCAGCCCGCTGCCGTTGCTCAGAGGCGGCTGCCGCAGTGTCGCCCGGTCTTTTACTAAATGAAAACAGAGCTGGGCGTGGTGGTGCGTGCCTGTCATCCTAGCAGTTGGAAGGCTGAGCTAGGAGGCTTGATGTGAGTTCAAGGCCAGCCTGGGCTACCTAGTAAGACCCTCTCTCAACACCCCCACAAAAGAACCCTAAGCAGAAACCCTGGATTCGGCTTCAGTGAGACACTGCACAAAGCAGCCCAGGTCCCAGCGTTCTGTGCAGTTCCTCTGCCTGGTCACGTCTCCCCACCCCCTCGAGAGACTGTGTGTGTGTGTGTGTGGGGGGGGGGGGCGTGTGTGCCTGAAACCCACAGCCCTGTGCATGTTTGTGACGCTGTGTTTTTTGGGACTTACTGCCAGGTCAAAAGCGTGAAGCGGCGGGAGAAAAAAGCAAGCGTGCTCTTCATCGAGCGGGACATGAACCCCAAAGGGCGCGGGTAAAGAAGGCACTGCTCTTGCTTTCTATAAAGGGCATCAGGAGCCCAGCGGGTGGGGAGGTGCTCAGGTCATCCCCGCACCAGGTAGAGGAAGTGGCCCATCTCTCCCTGTTTCCCCAAGTTCATTTGCTGGGCTGAAAGGCAGTCCCAGCAGTCGCTGTGGATCCCCCGTAGCAACACTTGGTGCTGGGAGACGGTGTCCCCACCCGAGCCCAGAGCTGCCCTTGGGCCCCTGCACGAGCCAGTGCAACCCCTTCAGCAGGACACTGTGGGACTGGCCTCTGCTGGCCCTTGGTGCTTCCTGCTTCCTCCGATAACTACTGGGTGTGGACGAGGAGCTGGGGCCCCTGCCACCCACCCCAAGGACCTGTCACCGTTTGTTGAAGTCACTGCATCCTGTTAGCTCCAGGCCTGGCTCCATGGGCTCCCTTGGGCAGCTAGAAAAGTCACCTCTGTGAGGGACTGGTGCCCATCCAGGCCCTGTGGCCCTGTGCTGATTCTTGGTGAGGAGAGGGAAGCTTGGAGAGGCTCAGATGAAGTCCCCTCAAGCTAACTGTCACCTCTCTCCCCTCCACCAGCATCACAGTGTCGCTCAAAAGACTGAAGCACTTTGACTGTAAGGAGAAGCAGGCGCTGCTGGTAGGTGGACAGTCGTGTGCTCGCTCCCGCAATCATGTTACCTTGTGGCTGGTCAGGCTAGGATCGGTCACGGTCAATCTGGGAAGTCACTGGCCCTGTCTCTCCATTTTAGAGGGGGCAAACTGGGGCCTGAGCAGGCCGAGGCAGGGAGCCCAGGCACAGGGCTAGTTCTTTGATGGCTCGATGGATGGAGCTGAGAGCCTGGAAGCTGGAGCCCTGTTCTGGGCTGCTGCGCTGAGCTTGAAGTGTTGAGCCTGGCCTCTCACAGCCTCCCAAGGCAGATGCGCCCTACCAGGCTGCTTCTGTGCCTCCTGTGATGCAGTCAGCCTGTTATCACACGCTGCTGACTTTGCCAGTGAGAAACAGCAGCACACACTTGTATATCCGGGGTGCTCAGGAGGCTGAAGCAGGAGGATCACAAAATCAAGGCCCACGAGAGCAATTTAGCCAGATCCTATTTTAAAATAAAAAACAGAAAGGGCTGGGAGTGTAGAACCCCTGGGTTTATTTACTCCCTTGCAATGAAAAAAAAAAAGTTTGTTTCAACTTTGAGAACACTCATTTTGTTTTATCCATTTTGAAAAGGAAAAATAAAAGAATAAGGAAAAGAACAAAACACAGGACAGGTAGCTGTGGGGTCCCTTGACACCATCTCCCCATGGCACAGGGATTTTTCACTTCTCAGCAGTGAAGTGCTCAGTTTTCCCGAGCTTTGAGTTACAGTGACGCAGGCCTGTGCGTCCCGCGGTGGCCGGTGGAACAACTAGGGCCATGCTGGCCTGGGGCCCTCTGCTGCTTGCTGTGCTGCTGCTCTGAGGATCTAAAGTTTCACGGGGAGCCTGGGGGTGCCAGGTGTATCTTGGGGAGCTGGGGACTCTTTGTGGTGACCACTGTGGGTTTCTTTCTCTTTTTTTCTTTGCTAGGGGTGGAACCCAAGGCCCTGTACGTGCTGAGCGTGTGCTCACCACTGAGCTGCACACTCGGCTCCCTATTTCTTTTTTCTTTTTCTTTTTGTTTTGTGACAAGGTCTCGGTAAGTCACAAATTCTCATGCTGGACTCGAACTTGTGATCCTCCTGCCTCAGCCTCTCAGTGGTGGGATCACAGGCATCCACCAGCGCACCACACTCCCGTTTCCTTTTTCTGATGTTCAGTTCCTTGAGCTGTTGGTCGTCTGTCTGGCCATGAGGTGCCAAGCCTGATCCCCGTCTGTCTTGCCCATTTAGCTTGCTCCCTGTGAGCTTGGACCCACAGCCTGCTGTAGGACACCCCTGGGCTGGTCCTGGTGTTAGCAGAGGGCGGGCATCCCCGCATCTGCTCTGCCCTGCTTTCAGGTCCGTGCACAGCAGGAGGCAGGGGGGTGTTGTCTCACCTGAACGCTCTCTGCTCACCTAGGAGGTGTTCTGCTCTTGGGGCCTGGGATGGTGCCTCCAAAGCAGTGGGTGTGGGCATGAGCGAGAGCAGTGTCTTCTTCCCTGGAGGCCCATGTGCTTTAAACATAGAGGATGCCGTTTATCACCAGAAACCCGGGTGGTGAGAAAATCAGGCGTTGTCCTCGAGGTGACGCTGATCATGGCTGCATCGGCTGCTGGCATCTGGTGTTTGTTTTTTCTTTGTGATGGTGGGGACTGAACCCAGGGGTCTTGCACCACCGAGCTATATCCCCAGCTCTTTTTTTCTTTTAAGGCAGAGTCTTGCTAAATCGCTCCAGTTGAGCTCAAAAAGGGTGATACTCCTGCCGAGTAGCTGGAATGACGGGTGTGTGGTGCCCCGCCCCCCGAAAAGCACTCAGCCCCGGTGCTGACACTGATGCACTTCAGCACTTGGCGTTGGCGTGTCTCCGTGTTGCCCACGTGTGGCTCTGGGCTTGAGGCCTGGGGCCCACAGTGTTAAAGTGGTTGGGATGGAGGCCTCTGAGGGGCAGTTTCAGGAAAGCTGTTCGTTAGGTTGGTACTGGGCACTGCCCGGGGGTTTCAGCCCACTGTGTGACGGGGCAGGCTCCGTACCATGGCTGGTGGCTGTCCCTGGTCCCATGTGTGCCCCTGGAGCTGCAGCTGCCCGCTGTGGCCTCTGATGCCGCAGTGTTTGCCCCTTGCCACCCTTGAGGCTGTGCTTGCAGGCAGGCAGGTCACAGTGCCCAGTGTCTTGCCCTGAGGGTTCCCTGTGAGGCTGCCCGGCTCTCTGAAACCAGCTCGCAGAAGGGGACGGAGTCGTGGGTGTTGCCCTCGCGAGGATAGCTTGTCCCGTTGACCCTGCCGGGTCCCGAACCGTGTGCGCCTGCTGCCACAGGCGCAGTTCACTCACACGGAGTCGTGACTTCCCCGTCATCTGAGGACAGCACCGACCACTCCCGAGGCTGACAGGGTCACTGGTGGCCGTGGTCAAGCAGCTTGTGGCCCACACCAGGCCCCTCAGAGGATGGGGACACCAAGGCTCAGGGAATACAAGGGTTCCCCAAGGCCCCCCTGGGGGTGCAGGGCTCTGTGGCTCAGCCCCTGCCGATGCTCCGCCATCTGGTCTTCTAGGACAAAGCGAGAGAAGACTTCGATCAGGCCATTGGCTGCTGTGTCTCCCTCATCACCGACTACCGGGTGCGGCTAGGTACGTGGGGTGCCCTGGAGGGCAGGGTTGAGGGGCGGCGGCACTGGGCTCCCGGCCCCGGGGCTGCCCTGCCGTGCGTGAGCGTCCTCTCCTAAACCAAGACGAAGCGGGAATGATGCGCAGGGCGGAGGGGAAGGTGGTGGGTTTCCGCCTGTCCCAGCTCTGCCGTTTGGGGACGTGGGATGCAAGAAAGGGACCCGAGGCGGTGCAGACTCAAGCCCCAGGCTGGCCCTGGCATCTGAACGCTTCCCTGTGCCCTCTTGCTCTCCTCTGGCTCTGCAGGCTGCGGCTCTTTTGCTGGCTCCTTCCTGGAATATTTCGCTGCCGACATCAGTAAGTCTGCGTCAAGCCTCTGACTGCGGCATCTGCTTCTCAGCCCTTGAAAGGCCACGGTCTTCCTGGTTGGCAGCTATGGGAGGGCTTCGTCAGGCGGGGTGTCACCTGCATTCCAGCAGTACTGAGTAACCCCGAGTGACCCCGACCTTGAGGTTCCCCTCCGGACAGCAAGCTGCCCTTCCCTGGCCGGGACCTGTTGGCTGCCCTCTTCCCCTTGCGCACAAGCCTGGTCCACATTGTCCCCGCCATGGGTCATGGCCGTAGGTATCAGGTAGCTTAGGAATGTTGCCTGAATACTGGACTGTCTGACCTGCGCTTTTCTTAGCCATTATTTTTAGTGTTTTTTTGAGACAGGGCCTTGGTATGTGATTTTATTGATTAGATTAAATACGGTTTAAAGGGCTGTGTTAGGAGAGATGGATCAGGGATCCCGTCAGTGGAAACGTCTTTGGTTTGGCATTGGTGATGGTGTTGGCTTTGGCACTGGTTTTGGTTTTGGAGACAGGGTCCTAATATGTAGTGCAGGCTAGCTTTGAACTCACTATGTAGCCCAGGCTGGTCTGTCTGTCTTTGTTTTTTTGAGACAGGGTCTCGCTCTGCAGTTCAGGCTGGCCTTGAGCTTACTTTGTAGTCCAGGCTGGCCTCGAACTCACAAGTCTTCCTGCTTCAGCCTCCTGTGTGCTGGGGTTATAGGCGTGAGCCACCACGCCCAGCATCTCAGGCTGGTTTTGAACACTCAATCTTCCTGCCTCAGTGACCTGAGTAGCCGGGATCACAGATGTGTGCCAGTGACCCTGGCGGAGGAAGAGTCTTTAGGAAGCGACTGTGGTCTTCCAGCAGCTCCTAGGGTCCCGGCGCACGGTCCCTGGGCCCTGCTGTGGCTCTGCCGGTCCTCATCTGGCTTTTCTGTGAGTGAGACTCATGCTGGGCGTGGAGGGAAGGTGGCCGAGACCCCACACCGAGCACTTCCCCTGCAGGTTACCCTGTCCGGAAATCCATCCAGCAGGACGCTGAGGGCACCAGGTTCCCCCAGCTGAGCGGAGGGGACCCCAAGGAGCCTGAGGGCGACAGCCCCCTGGGGTGGAGCCTGCCCTGCCGAAAGGTGCTGCCCGACCGCTCCCGGGCCGCCCGGGACCGCGCCAACCAGAAGCTGGTGGAGTACATCGTGAAGGCCCGCGGTGCCGAGAGCCACCTGCACGCTATCCTGAAGAACGGCAAGCCGTCGCGGTGGCTGAAGATGTTCCTGGGCTCGGGCCAGTATGCCACGTGCATGGAAACCTACCTGGAGGATGAGGAGCAGCTGGACCGCGTGGTGAAGTACCTGCAGGGTGTCTACCAGGACATGGATGGTGACAGACTGGCACGGGCCAGCGGCGACCGCATCCGCTTCATCCTAGATGTGCTGCTACCCGAGGTGAGGTGCCCTCGGTCGCTCCCCCTCATTGTGGGTGAGGGGACAGGGCCCATGGGTCTCGGCCTCACCATCCATGCTGGGCTCAAGCTTGTGGCAAGCTGTGCCTTCTCCCCGTGCGCTTGCAGATGGTGGCCGCTCAGAAACCACTCAGGAAAGAGAGATCCTGGCGGGCACAGGGGCACACACTTGTGCTTGGAGGCTAAGGCAGGACGGTCACAAGTTTGAGCCCAGCTGGGCCGCTTTGCAAAACCTTGTCTCGAAATAAAACATAATGAAAAGGGCTGGGGCTGGGGCTCTGTGATAGAGCTCAGTGGCAGAGGGGTTCAGTCCCCAATGTCGCCATAGAAAAGTTCTTACCCTGTGAGTAAGGCACAGCTGTGCCTGTGACCTTGAGTGTGCCGTGACCTTGAGCCAGGCTCAGGGCTCGGTCTGGAGAGGACACCGTGGGGTGCACACTCGCATCAACAAAGCACTGTCAAAGTCATTTGACCTTGGAGCTGACAGAACTCGTAAGTAGATTCAAAAATAAAATAGCACAGTCAACTCTGTGCCCATTGCCCCTGCATTATTTTGGGGGAAAAAAAACCCATCCCACTCCTTTTACCCTTAAGTATCCTCTGAAACCGGACACTGGGTAGTGTTTGGAGCCGTTTATGGCTGTCACGACTGGGGAGCTCCTGGCCTGCAGCAGTGGAAGCCAGAGACGCTGCCCAGCACCCTGCAGTGCTCAGGACGCCCACCCTAGAAAACCACCTGGCCCCAGCGGCCTCGGTGCCGGGTTGGGAGGGTACCTGCTGTATACCAAGGGTTCTTTTTTGTTGTTGTTTGTTTGTTTTGAGACAGTGTCTTGTTATGTAGCCAAATCTGGGCTTGAACTTGCAGTCCTCCTGCCTCAGCCTCTCTTGTTGTTGTGGGGATTACAAGCATGTGCCACCGCACTCGGCTCCTTATGTATTCTTCAAGAACTCTGTGTTTGCCGTAACTACAATACTGCTGTATCACCTATGGCAACTGATGCTGATTCATCAATATCGGACATTTGTTGTACATGAAAATAGTTTTTCGCCATAGTGGGGATCAAGCCTAGGAAATGCTGATCCCATTTATTTATTTAGTTAGTTAGTTAGTTATTTTGGGTACCAGGAATCTAACTCGACCTCATGCTTGCCAGGCAGGGGCTGCGCCGCTGAGCTATATCCCCGGCCCTGTTTATTTTGAATACAGGGTCCTGCTAAATCACCTGGGCTGGGCTGAAATTTGAGATCCTCCTGTCTCAACTTCTAGAATGCTGGGATTACAGGGATGCACTGTGGTGCTCAGCTGCCCCTTATTGTATCTTTTAGGGTTTTTTCATGTATGAATGTATATTTTGCTTTGGTTTGTTTTTAATGGTAAATTCTCAGATTTTCAAAAATGCCCTTGTGAGTTTGAGGCAAGCCTTTTACTTCCTGCCACTAATGACGTGAACTCTCGTCTCCAAAAGAAGGTGCTGCTGATTGGACTTGCGAGGTTCATTAGAGGCAGCTATGTCCCGGACCGCAGCGTGCACGGCTTGGAGCCCCGGCCCCTTGTGTGTGAAGCAGCCAGCGCTGCTCAGCCGGTGCCTGCTTCCCCGGTCCAGCGCTCTGTGTCCTTTTGCAGGCCATCATCTGTGCCATCTCTGCCGTGGATGCTGTGGACTACAAGACGGCCGAGGAGAAGTACCTAAAGGGACCATCGCTCGGCTACCGGTAGGCTGTGCCTTTATCACGGTGACAGACGTTCCCTTCATCCTAGCGGGGATCGGCAGGCAGTGGCCGGGGACTCTGAGCTGGCCTGTGGCGGGCGAGCTGGACCCGTGCCAGGCCCCGCCACAGCTTCCCTGGGAGCAGACTGCCCCGGCCCCACATCCCCCAGGCCCAGCAACACGGTCGCGTGCTTGGCCGCATCCCTGACTGTGTCTCCCTAATCTCCTGCGCGGGGTGGGCATGTTCTGGGTTCTCCTCCCCGCTGCGCTAGCCTCGTGCTGGTGGAGCAAAAGAGTGAAATTGAGAAGCAGCCTTTGCACTGGGCAGGAGAGTGAAGGCTGTGATCAAGATGTTCCTGCTCGTCGAGCCGGGTCTCTGGCCCCTAATCCGCCTCTGGGCACACTGCCAGGCCTTGGTGGGAGCCAGCGGGGCCGCAGGGCAGTAACAGGCACAAGATGGATCAGGAGTCGCAGGGCAGGGTCTCATCCAGGGCTCACCAGCCTGGCTGCATGCCTGGACCCTCCGCCTCCAGGCACGTTGTCCCGGGAGTTGGTGTGAGCCTTGTGGTGCCCTCAAGGACCCACTGTCCTCCCTGGCAGGCCCCTTGGGTTTGTAGTGTCTGAAGGTCACTGCAGAACTGTCCAGAAGAATTTAAATGTGGCTTCATTTGCAGCAGTGTCAACCCAGCCCAGTTAATAGAACTATAAGGGCCGCTGGGGATGGACATGCCTGTGAGCCCAGCTTTCTGCGAGGCTGAGGCAGGAAGATCCTAAGTTGAAGTCCAGTGTAGGCAACTTATAATATAGTGAAATTCTGTCTCAAGCAAAAAGGAGGGCTGGGGATTTAGCTTAGGGGCACAGCGCCTGCCTGGCAAAAACGAGCTGAGGATTGAAGACATAGCACAATGTGAAGGCCCTGGGTTCAGTCCCCAGTACAGCATCACCCCCACCCCAACCGGAAGGGTCTTTGGAAACAGACGCTTGGCATTTTTGTTTTTTTTGTTTTCTTTTTTAGTATTTTTTTCTTTTTTTCTTTTTTTGTTTTTTTTTCCGGTACTGGGAATTGAACTCATGACCCTGCACTTGCCAAGCAGGCGCAGTGCTGAGCTAAATTCCCAGCCCCTTTTTTTAGTATTTTTGAGACAGGGTCTCGCTATGCCGTTTAGGCTGGTCTTGAGTTCACTTTGTAGCCCAGGCTGGCTTCGAACTCAACGATCCTCCTGCCTCAGCCTCCCGAGTGCTGGGATTATAGGCGTGTGCCACCACGCCTGGCTGATGCTTGGCATTTTTATCAGGGTTTCTTAGCAGTGTGTGCTAGCCTGATCCACATGACGTGTGTGAAAGTGGTGGCCGTGGGAGGGTGCATGTACTGTCATCCCAGGACCCTTGTTTCTCCTGGCTTCCTCTTGGTTGGCAGCCCATGCCTCCTGTGAGGAGGTACAACAGGGACATTTGGTGCCTCCGTTCAGCTTAATGAGGCTGGGCGCTCACAGGGATGTGGTTCTAGCGCACCCACTTGTCACAGTGGCAGCTGCCTGCCCGCCCACCATCGCAGCATCCATCCACTGTGACGCTGTCATGTCCTTTTCTGTTTTGTTCTCCACTGATGTCCCTTCTGACTCATCGTTATATCATGGGGAACTTTCTTTTAAAAATGGCTCTGCAATCAAAAGTATTCCAGGTTCTTCTTGCCTCAAACAAAGAATTGAACGAGACAAGACAATAACAGTGCTGGGGATTTTATTTGAACAGCACAGGGCGAACAGGTGTGGGAATGACCACCTCTGCAGCATGAATTTGGGCCGAACAAAGAGAAAAAGAGGGTAAAAGCAAAAACAGAGCCGGGCGTGGTGGCGCACGCCTGTATTCCCAGCACTCAGGAGGCTGAGACACGAGGATCATTGTGAGCTCAAGACCAGCCTGAGCTACAAAGTGAGCCCAAGGCCAGCCTGAGCTGCATAGCGAGACCCTGTTCCAAAAAGACCAAAAGAAAAAAAAAAGCAAAAATGAAGGTACACATTGGGCCTCATGCACTAGTGGCTTTCCATAATGGAAGCTCTTCTTTATGGCGCCCGCATCTCATGGGAGCTCCCAGGAAGTCCTACGTACGTGTCCTCGCATTGCCTGGGATCTTGTCATTGACAGGGCCCACTCCCTCCTGCCAGCTTTGCCACGTCCTATCCTGTATCAGCTCGCTTTCGGGAACTTCACCGAGCGCACGTCCGGAGGTGCTGTCCTGTCCCCATGTCGTCCAGGCGGTGTCTGTCCCCTCTCTGACCCACCCCCTGTGGTCGTATGTTCTGCAAAGGCCAATTTGAAAACCAGTCTGTCTCACTTCTCTCCCTGTCCCGAGGCCACCCTGGTTCCTGGGAGGGGTTGCTGCTAAGCAGTTGTCCCTGATGGGGACACTGGACATGGGTCATTTAATAAAGTAAAGCTCAGGGCCGGGCCGAGCCTCTGCTCACAGCTGCTAGGTTGGAGGGCTGAGGTGAGAGGCTCTTGAGTTCAAGGCCAGCATAGGAGGAGAGTATCAAGAAAAAAAAAGTAGTATTTCATCTACTTTAAAAAATACTACTTTAGGCGGGGTGTGGTGGCACATGCCTGTAATCCCAGCAACTTGGGGGGCTGAGGCAGGAGAATCATTGCGAGTTCAAGACCAACCTGGGCTACAAAGTGAGCTCAACGCCACCCTGAACTGCATAGCGAGACCCTGTCTCAAAAAGACCAAAAAAAAAAAGAAAAAAAATTACTTTTAATATTTTTCTGGGATGAAAAAAATGGTTGGGAGCATGCTGCTCCTCCAAGACAGAGCACTCGCCTAGCATGAGGACTGAGATCCCATCCCCGGTGCCACCAAAAAAGAAAAAAAACAATAAATAAAACCTAAAATGTACCTTTAAAAATTTCTTTCAGACCTGATTTTGCTGTGGAGCCCAGGCTGGCCTCAGACTCACTGCATAACCTGGGCTGGCTTCAAACTTGCAGTCTTCCTGTCTCAGCTTCCCAAGTGCTAGGATTACAGCTTTCTTTCTTTCTTTCTTTTTTTATGGGTGGAATCGAACTCAGGACCTTGTGCTTACCAGGCAGGTGCTTATACCACTGAGCTATCTCCCTGGCCCTCTTTCTTGCCTTTCTACCTCCTTCCTTCCCTTCCCTCCCTCCCTCCCTTCCTGCCTTCTTTAAGGGTCTCACTATGTAGCCCATGCTGGCCTTAAAATTTTGGCAGTCCAGGTGCTGGGATTACAGGTGTGCACCACCACACCTGGCTTTCCTCCTCTTTCCAGGCTCCATGATTAATCACTCGTGTGATATATCAACTTCTGTTTTCTGCAGGGAAAAGCAAATATTTGATAACCAGGTCCTGGAAGAAAGGAGTCGGCGCCACCGGTGAGGCGCACCCAGCTGTAGCGTGCTCCGGGACACAGGGACCCCAGGATCTGTCCGGTGCCGTGGCTCCAGCCCTCGCTTCTAGTCTGAAGAGGCCGAATCATGGCCAGTGAAAGCCGGTCTCTGTGTTGGTGTTTTGCCAGAATATACATTTCGTAAGCGATTTAAAGAGGATAAATCCATTTATTGTACATTGTCCATCGTGACTGTATAGTTTGATACGAGTTGCACATGTATTTTATGTCACACATCACATTCAGTATTAAATGGGAGTTTTTAGAAAGCGTCTGATGTGGCTCTGTGGCTTCGAAGCATCCCTGTGTCTTCTGGTTGTGTTCTGTCACGGTCCCCGCTGCGTGGTCCCCGGCCCACTTCTGGGGTCTGCTGTCCCGCTCCTGCCGTGCTGTGACTCGCGGTACAGAGGCCAGCGCTGCTGGGGTCGTGTGCTCGGGAGGGCAGGAGCCGGAGCCTGTGGCTGGATGCCACGGTCGTCTTGAGCCCTGTGGCCTTGGCTGTGCGGTCTCTGCATGGCCCCCCGACGTCTTTGTGTGCTACCTGGACAGCCAGCATGGGATCCCACAGTGGCCTCCGTCCCGCTCCGTGTCACCATAGGAGCTGTGGACCAGGTGGTGGCACTGTGAGAGAAACCGGCCAGTCCGAGGCCGGGCCCTGCAGCAGTGAGGCCACAGTGTGGGGACAAGGACCAGATGTCCTCAGGGCGGCCCGCTGCTGCACAGCCCAGCCCAGAGATTCTGTAATAGCCGCAGCCCGGAGGGTTATTCTGGCTGACCCCTGAGGCTGAGTGAGGTCAGGGTCACCCAGGGAGTTTTCGGACTGGGGCAGAGTTGAGCCCTGAGGCCGTCCACCTGCGCTGGGTGTGGTTATTGTTACTTGTCTGGCTGCCGAGTTGCGTGGGTCCCCTCTCTGATACGTGAGGTCGGGACTTCTTCCCCAGTGTCCCCCTCACCCTGTGCCAGCAGTGCAGAGTGAGGGGGGCTGTAGATGGCAGCATGGCCATCGTCACTGTTCCTCAGTGTCACACGCCCAGGCCGCCCCTTCCCGCTAGAGTGGCAGGGATGGATGGCTGTGCCCTGGCTCAGGGGCCGGAGAATGTTGCATTGGATGATTTCACTGCAGTTGGTTTTGCTGGGATCTCCAAGGAGACAGAGAGGAAACTGAGACACAAAGTGGGCCCTGCCTCCAGCCACCTGCAGGGTCCACGTCCCAGGCAGGGGCTTGGCAAAGCATTGCCAGCCTGGCTGTGGTCACACCTCTCTGTCTTTCCTGAGGCGGGAGCACCTCCCTCTTGCCCTCCTTCCTGGGAGGCCCACCCCATCAGCCCACAGGGCTTGGGCCTGGGGCCTCAAGTCTGCGCTGTGATAATCTGGCCAGCACGGTCCTGTGAAATCTGAGTCCCTGTGAGTCATTGCTGTGTCGGTCTGTCTGCCTGCCTGCGTGTCTGTCTTTTTTTTTAGCACTAAGGATTGGCCCCAGAGCCTGCCGTCACATTGAGCTACATCCCCAGCCTTTTATATTTTACTTCAAGACAGTCTTGGCTGAGTTGCCCACACTGGACCCAAACTTCTGATCCTCCTGCCTCAGCCTCTCAGAGTGCTAAATTTACATGTGCACACCTAGCTACGTCCTGAAGTATTTCTATACCGCCATCTCTGGGCCTCCCTTTACTGTGTCCTGAAGATCGGGTGGTCCAGCCCTTGCAACTGGAATTAAATGGCATTTAGAAGACGTTTTTCTGGACAAAACTCGTTTTTTCTCTGGGGGAAAGGTGTGTGTTTCTCAGAGAATCGGGGCTGCGCATAGACCAGGCCTACTGGGCCGGGAGATGGGTGGATCTCTGTGGGCAGACCTGGGCTGCATGAGTGTCACCAAGAAAGCACCCATCTGTCAGGGAAACCGGATCCAGGCCAGACTGGTGCTGGAGGGGCCAGAGAGCACCCCCCCATCTTCCATGGGGCAGGCCCACATCAGCGGGGCATTTTCCTCAGTGTTCAGAGGGCATTTAGGCCCCGGATTGTCTTTTGGCCACAAGGCACCAGGTCAGGAAAGTTCTAAAAACTTGTCCTGAGGACCAGCTGAGGCCTACCAGGGGTGACCAGTGTGACTTGGCTGCTTCCAAGGTGCCGAGGGGCCAGACTCAAACCATCAATGCCCACACGTGGTGCAGTGTGGTGTCCCATCCTCCCACACACCTGCCTCCTGCCTGTGGGGTATTGGCCCCACACCTGTTGGTGACCCCGTGTTCTCCACGGGCCCTGTGTCCCCCAGTGCCTGTGCACACTGGGGTCAGGCTGCTCTCTGTGGGGCGTCGCGGGTACTGCAAGTGCTGAGTAGTGTCCTGGTCTCTGCTTGCTACCGGCCAAGAGCTCCCCCAGGGTGGTGGCCGCATGTGTCCCTGAACGCCACCTGGGTGCCCTGGAGAGCAGCTGTCTACAAGCTTCTCTTCCTTCGGAGTGGAGGTGGTTGGAATTTCCCAGACCCTGTCCCAGCCCTGGTGCAAGTCCCTGTCTTCCCTGCCACCCCTTCAGGGAACCTGGGAGGGGCCCCTGCCCCCCCACCATACCCCTGGGAACCCCCTTCCCAAAGTGAGTGTCACTTGCTCCACACGTGGAAGAAGGGAACTGGGTTTGCCAGAATCAAGCATCCTCGATTTCAAGCAGCACCACAAGCCAGAGAGGATGCACGGCCCACACGTCAGGGACATACTTGATGTCCAACGGTGCCACCCTTCTGCTTAGGAGCCTCTGGCTTCTCAGTCCCCCTCCCCTCCCGTCCCCCTCCTTGCCCTGCGCCCATTCCTTGGCCCCCTCCTTCCTGCATTCTCCCGTCCCTCTTTCCCCTTCCACCCTTTCTCCTTCAAGCCTGCACCTCCGTGTAGCTCCTGTCCTCAGACCCTGCCCCGCGCTCCATGCATGTGGGCCACGCTTCCAGTGCGCTCTCCTTCTTTGAGCCAAGTCGCCTCAAAACCTTGCTGTGGGTTACTTAGTTCTTATGGTTCCCATAGCTCAGGGCTCCAGAGGAGCGGAGCTCAGTGTCACCTCTGGAGGCTGGCAGATGTGAGCTGGGGTGTTGGAGGCCTCCATTCCCTCACCCTGGACATCCAGCCCCCACCGGCTCCCCCCACAGTAGGCAGTCCGCCCAACCTTGGCAGTCACATGGCATCAAGGGAAGGTGACGTCCCTACACAAGCAGGAGGCAGCCCACCTGTCCCAGCGGGCCCTGAATTGAACTTAGCCTGTGCTGGTCTCCTGGCAGTCTCCCTGGAGACACAGTGAGCAGATGTCATGCAGGGCTGTGATGGGGTCCCAGTGCAGAAGAATCTGTTTTGTGTCACTCAGTAGGATTCCTGAGCCAGGCATAATGGCATCCCAGCTAGAGAAACTGAGGCAGGAGGATCTTGATTTTGAGCCCAGCCTGGGCAATTTCATGACTTAGGGAGACCTTGTCTCAAAAAAGTTTTAAGAAGAGCTGTGGATGTGGCTCGGTGCAAAGACCTTAGGTTCAAAGCCAGAACCAGAGAAGAAAAAGAAAAAAAAAAAAAGAAGGGCTAGGCATGGTGGCACATGCCTGTAATCCCAGCACTGGGGAGGCTGAGGCAGGAGGATCGTTGCGAGTTCAAGACCAGCCTGGGCTACAAAGTAAGCTTAAGGCCAGCCTGAACTGTGTAGCGAGACCCTGTCCCCAAAACACACACACACACACACACACACAAAAAAAAAAAAAAACCCAAAAAAAACAAACAAAAAAAAAACCCAAAAAGCAACAACAAAAAAAATAACCCCCCAAAAGTAGAGGGTATCTTTGCAAACTCTTGGAGTTAGTGTTACATTTAACAATCAGTACTGGCTCTAGACCTACCAATTTAAAAAATATCAAATCCACCCCCAGCACTAACAAATAACAACTTAAAAAAAAAATTTGGGGATGTTGAATGAAGAGAGAAGGACAGGATGTTTGCACTGAAATCATGAATCCTTTCAGTGGGATAAACACTGAAATTTCTAGTTCAACGGGAAACAGCGTTCAAATTTGGGACTATAAAAATTCTGCCGAAACCCGGGATCGAACCAGGGACCTTTAGATCTTCAGTCTAACGCTCTCCCAACTGAGCTATTTCGGCCGGGCTGTAGGGGTCACTCGCACCTAGACTCCGCCCAGAAGCGAGGTGCCCGGCACAGGCGCAGTTTGTCCCACGCTCGCCCGTTGCATATACCTCATAGGGCTACGTCGTAAGCTATTGTACAGCGCCGTCTCTGTGGCGCAATCGGTTAGCGCGTTCGGCTGTTAACCGAAAGGTTGGTGGTTCGAGCCCACCCAGGGACGGACAATTGTCACTTTTTCTTCCTTTTCGACATCCGAAAAAACAGTGCAGTGTCTTTTCCTTTGTCACCCTTATTCCGACCTCAGTTTTTGCGGGGCCAGAGGTCTGGGGACGCGCGGCGTGGACACAAACACGGAGGTGGAAAGAGCAGCGGAACGGCGCGACTCCGGGTTCCCGTTTCCGCACACATTCTGAGCCGCTTTGGGTGACGGCCCGAGGACCCGGAGCACTAAGAGGGCGGACCGCAGAGGTTGTCTGAAGGCCGAGGGCAAGATGGCGGCGCTGGCGGGTGAGCGCGGTGCCGGGGTGCTGGATTCGCGGGATCGTCGCGGGCCGGGGTCTAGGGCCGCGGGGACGTCGGGTTCCAGGGCCCAGGCTGGGGAACGTCGGGCATCACGGAGACCTAGGACGCCAGGACCTGGGTTTCTGCGGGCGTCGGCGCCTTTGTTAAGGCCCCAGTGTCTCGGGCTTTTTCATGCCGGCCTAGCTGTGATGAGTCTCTCGTTACTGAGGCCGGGTTACGGGCGGGGAAACCGAGGCAGGCTGGGCGGATGTGAGCAGGGGGCGCCTCTGGAGGGCGCCCGCGCGCTTAGCGCGAGCTGCTGCTCGGGAAGGGTGCGAGAGGCGGGCGCGGGACTTACACTCGGCTGACAGGAGCGAAACAGGTTCAGAGAGGACCCAGGCCACCGCCCCGCGCCGCGCTGCCTCCTCCCCCGGCCCCGGGCCCGCCGCGCAGGGGTTTATACCTGTCCTGCTCTGCGGACCTTTTGGACATCAGGGTAGCCTGTGGACCCCTCCCCAAAAAGTGAAATGGCATAAAATCGTAGGATCAAGAGGAAACGTGGGATACTGAGAGACAGTTATCAAATTCTGTCACACAACCCAATTGATAGCCAGCTGTGGTGGAGCAAGCCTGTGATCCCAGCATCCCAGAAGCTGAGGCAGGAGGATCCTGCGAGTTCAAGGCCAACCTGGGCTCCATAGTGAGACCCTGTCTCACACAAAAAAGAAAAAAAACAACCTAACTGGTGACTTAATCACCTGTGTGCTTTGATCGTTAATGCACAAGATGCCAGAACTGGGGCGGGTCTCGCTAAGGGAGCAGTCATAGGGAGCAAAGGGGACTAATTCTTGGAGTTTTCTGCTGCCTCGGTAACATGGCTAGGACTCTGGTTTTGCTGATGAAAAGTTACAGGTCTTGCCAGTACTGCTGTATTCTTTTGCCTGGGCTCAGAAATGAGTGAAAAACGCATTTTCAGTAAGACTTTGATGATAGTAAAGAAGTTATTTGCCTTTCTGTGCAATATTTCAGTTCTGAATTCTCACCAGGAATCCTTTGTGACAAATGCCCGTTCCAAAGCTGGGCATATTGGCACACTGCTGCTTAAGAGGCTGAGGCAGGAGAGTTTCTTCCACCTAGGAGTTTGGGATTAGTCTGCACACCATAGTGAGAACCTATCTCAAAAAAGAAAAAAGCTATTCCCATCACATCAGAGGTGCTCAGCAGGGTGTTTGGTTTGCTGTATTTCCAAGGCCCTAAGTTTTCAAGTGGGAAAACCGAGGCCTAGAGAGAGGCAGGTAACCTGTCTTTGTGCCCAGTCTCAGACTTGCCAAGAAGCAGGTCACCATCATGTCCTTGGGAGACTTGTAGCCTGCAGGGGGCCTCCGAAATCAGCGCCCTGAGTGAGTTGGGGCTTCGGGGACAGGCTGTGGGGACCACAGGGGGGCAGTGCAGCCCTCAGCCCTGGATTGGTGTGCTCAGGTGGCTTAAAGTACAGAAATTCATCCACTGTCGAGACTGGAAGTCCGATTGCTCAAGGTGTCACAGGCTGAGTTGCTCCTGAGGTCTTGCCTTGACCGTGGCTGCTGTCTTCTTGCTGGGACGGCCGTGGTCTTCGCTGTGTCTGTGTCCTGCTCCTTTTTTATTATATGGCCTCCAGGTCTGTGCTTCCGGGCCCATGTCAGGGACCTCACCTGTCCGTTAATCACCTCTGTAGAGACCCAGTGTCCAAACAGGGCCACGTTCTGCGGTGCTGGGGCTAAGGCATCACTGTGTGCATTTGAGGGGCACAGTTCAGCCCTGGATGGTCGCCAACCCTGGCCTCTCCGGCTGCCCCACTGTGTATCAGGATCTCTACCCGCCTCCACCACCATCTTTGTCCTTCTGGCTGCTCCCTTCCAGAAGTGTTCTCAAGGAGGCGTCCATCCAGGGCGTCCCTTCCTGTCTTTCCTTGTGTCAGCTCCTCTTGGAGGCCCTTGGCTGTGTAGGTTATGTGGACGGTGCCTTCGCTACGCTCCAGGGTGCATGTTCTGGGGCAGATCTGAAGCCCTCAAGCCCCAGCCCAGTGTCCAGAGCATCAGTTACTGAGCGCCGTCTGTGTGCCAGGCCCAGGCAAGGCCCAGACGGGGATGCGCAGTGTCACGGGAGCGAGCGGTCCACGGGTGCACGGAGGGGATGGCGCCCTGACCCAGAGGGTGGGTGGCGGGTGGGTGCCTGGCCTGAGGCCTTGGGAGAAGGGGCTGGCTCCGTGTGCGGCAGGGTGTTCAAGGCAGAGCGGACAGCGAGGCCAAGACCCTGAGGACATGGTGAGCGCGGAGAGACGGCCTTGCTGTGGGGTCTGAGTGCGCTTCCGGGGGCTTTGGGGTCTTCAGCAAGGGAGAGACATCGTCACTTTCTGAAAGCCCCCTCTGTGTCCTCAGAGGGATTGAGAGAGTGCAGGGCGACAGCAGCGGTGTGGCGGGAGGGAGGGCCTAGCAGGGACACCGCTCACCCCACGCCCGCCTCATTCCCTCCACAGCTTCTGGCCCGCGCTGCATCCGGATCCTCGGCCTGCGGTGAGTGCTGCCACCTGTCAGGTGGGGCACTCGGCCGTGGCTGTCACAGCCTGCCGGGGAGCCCTTGGGGAGGGTCACCGGTGAGCAGGGGCGGGCTGGGGCTGGCGTCTGTCGTCAGCAAAGGTGTGCGGGGGGGCCCCCGTGGGATGGTTGTGGGGTGGCAGAGGGTGCCAGTGCCCTCAGAGCACGCGCCGTCTGTCCTGGCAAGGTGCCCTGCCAGGCTGGCTCGAGAGGTCCAGCATGGAGGGCCTGGTGTCAGCGTTTCCTTCTAGAGCGGTTCCCAGGGTCTCCTCAGGCACTCAGTGGCCCATGCCCCTGAAGAAGCTGTTCCGCCTGAGCATCTTCGGGCTCGGGGCCTGAGTGAGGGGCGGGGCGGGCGGCCGCTTACCTGGCTCTCTGCAGCTCCGGTGTGGGCGCCGCTGTGCAGGCACGAGGTGTCCATCAGAGCCCGGCCGCTGCGGACCCTAGCAGGTGAGGCCACCCTCACCCTCTGCCCACCTCGCCCCCTGATGCCTTCTGCTCACTGCATCCTGGTCCCCCGGGAGCCCTGCAGCCACATCTGCCCTGCGGCCACATCCGCCCTCCGGTCCTGGGTGCCCGTGGCGCCTCCCGGAGCCCCTGGGAGCAGCCCTGTGTTGTTCTCACCTTCAGTGAGGCCTGACCGTGTGCTGTCCAGGCCCTGCCTGTGCCTGCTCCTTTGTCCCCACCTCCAGGCGGCTACCCCGGGTGCGGTGCCCGGGCAAGGGCAATGGGTGGCCACCCCATGGCCGTGTCACTGACGCTTCCCACGCCTGCGTGTCCCTTTACCCAGCACCCAGCCTGCTGTACCCAAGGGCGGAGCCGTGGTCCCAAAACCCCCCACACTCCCCAGGAGCCGTGGCGAGTATGTGGTGGCCAAGTTGGATGACCTCATCAACTGGGCCCGTCGGGTGAGCACCCCGTCCCCTCTCCCCGTCAACACACACACTACCCTTGGGATGCAGGGACAAGGCTGGCTGTCCTGAGCACCCCCCAGTTCTACAGTGGGGTTCACCCTCCTCCTTCCCCACTGCCTGACCTCCCCCTGGGCCCAGCGAGCCAATGACTCCTCCTGCAGGTCTCATCCTAGCCTGTGTTCCCTGTTCTCTTCTGATGTGCAAGGGACTTTTAACCTCACAAAGCCGTGCAGGCTGACACACGTCCTCCTCAGTGAAGTCCGCTCAGCCCTCCCATGCGGCACCTACGACATGTGTCCCTGTGACCAGCTGGCCACTCCTCACAGCTCTGCCCGGTGCCTGGCCTCGCCGTGGTACTGAGTCTCACAATGGCCCATTGAGGGCGCGTGGCTCCGCCTCCCCCTTTGTCTGTGTTGGGCACAGTGCCCAGGGCAGCCTCCGTGGGAGCCCACAGCTGCCAGGATGGAGCTGCCCGCTGCAGGGCCCTTTGTAACCACCGAAGTGCAGAGACATGGTCAGGGTCTGTCCAGTGCAGGTGCCACCCAAGTGGCCCTGGCCATCTAGGCCAAGGGGTGACCTCTTCACACTTTGCAGCCCAGGTGGTGCCACCAACGCCCACACACCTATTGATGAGCATCGGGGCCACTTCTAGATATCAGACCCAGGGCGGGAGGGCCAGGAGCTGGGGGTGCAAGACACCAAATGCTGCAGGACAGTGAGGGAACCGGGAGGGCTTCCTGGAGGAGCTGCACATGGCGCCCAGGGCTGTCGTGTCAGGTCTCGGGGAAGGTGGGCAGGATGGTGCTGGTTCTGAGCCCTCTCCCGGGCCTGGAGCCCGGCCGCTGGCCTTGCTGATTCTAACGGGAGGGCAGAAACCTGTGTGGATGGTGGCTGACTGGCCGGCCCTCACCCAGAGCTCGCTGTGGCCCATGACCTTTGGCCTGGCCTGCTGCGCTGTGGAAATGATGCACATGGCTGCCCCACGCTATGACATGGACCGCTTCGGCGTGGTCTTCCGCGCCAGCCCACGCCAGGCCGACGTGATGATTGTGGCTGGCACACTCACCAACAAGATGGCCCCGGCGCTCCGCAAGGTAGGCCCAGCCCCCGCCCGCCCCTCCGGCCTGCACCGAGCGGCGCGCAGAGCCTGATGCTGCGTCTCCTCCAGGTCTATGACCAGATGCCAGAGCCACGCTATGTCGTGTCCATGGGGAGGTGAGTACTGCTCCCCACCCCACCTTCACCCCTCACGTCTGTCCAGGTATCACAGGCGAGGCCCTCAGCACGTCCTCAGCACACCTGTACCTAGCTGCCACCTGTCACGTGCTCCTCTGTCCACTGCCCGCCCAGGCAGCAGGCCCAGGCGCGGGCAGCCGGCAGCCTCCTTTCCACCCAGCTCAGTGCTGTGTAAGAGCAGCCTTTTACTGTGTAGACGCACTGGTCTGGGGAGACAGCTCAGCGGCGCAGCGCCTGCCTGGCAAGCGCAAGGTCCTGAGTTCAATTCCTGATACCAAAAAAAAGTTCATAGTTTAGATTCATTGGCTTTTAGTTATAGTTAGATGCATGACTATTGTCCCTGTCTAGTTCTAAACCTGCATCACCTCGAAGGAAACCCCATCCATACCCATGAGCAGTCAGCCGTCTCCTCTCAGCCCTGGCACCCGTGAGGTCACTTCCTGCCTCTGGGTTCACCTGTCCTGGGTGTTTCCTGTTCACGGAGCCCGCGCTGTGTGTCCTCTGTCTGGCATCTCTCACTGAGCACAGTGTCGAAGTCCACCCACACTGGCAAGTGTCACAGCCTCGCTGTGCAGCTTTTGTTGGCCGAGTGACATCCCCGTGTGGGGACTTACAAGTAACCTAATTAATGAGCAGCTGTAGAACATTCCGGAATGCCAGACACTGCAGTTATTTCCATTTTCCTGGCCCTGGTGAGCCGTGTGATGCATGAAGCTACAGGCATTTCCAGGTCTCTCCAGGGTGTGTGCACCCCAGAGATGGGGTGGGTGGCGGGTCTGGACTGCTCCGCAGACGGCTGCTTCCCGTGCTCCCACTCCCCGGCTCTGCTCTTTTGGGGGGCTGCTTCCCATGTTTCCCAGCACACATCTGCTTGTGTGCCCCATCTTGCAGAAGGTTCCCAGAGGTGCTTGGCCTCTCCAGGCCGCCCGTCTGTGATACTGCGACTGGCCTTCACTAGGTTCCTGATGCCAAGTGGGGCTGGGAGGGCCCACGGTGCCAGGGTGGCCCCTCAGGGTGCTTTCTCCCCCAGCTGTGCCAATGGAGGAGGCTACTACCACTATTCCTACTCCGTTGTGAGGGGCTGTGACCGCATCGTCCCCGTGGACATCTACGTGCCAGGTAAGGGCGGTCCAGGCCTGCTCCTTCTGCTCCACACCCACCTAGGCCACACCTCCCCATGTTGTGGACGGGCAGGCTGAGGTCCCTGAGGAACAGTGCCACCCCAGGCCTAGCCCCCTTGGTCATGGATAGAAGCTCCCAATAGAAGCTCTAGGTGGTGGCCTGGTCCTGGTGTCAGAAGGTCGGAGTAGCAGAATGAATGGCTGACATTTGCCAGTTACTGCAACAGTTTCATGTGGTTCTGTCTGAGAGAGAAAGTCCAAAGAAATGTAATTACTAAAACTAACAAGAAAAGGTCCCTGCAGACAGGACATTGTCCCTGGTCCTCATTCTCACAGAAGGGCCCACGAGATTCCAGGCTGGGGATCTTCAGGATGCCCAGATTTACAAAATAAAAGTACCAGGCATGGTGATACACACCTGTCATCCCAGTACTCAAGAAGCTGAGGCAGGAGCACTACCGTGGGTTCAAGGTCTGGCTACATAGTGAGACCCTGCCTCAAAAAAGATAAAAAAAATAAAAAGGGTGGGGAGTGCTAGTCTCAGTGTGAGACCATAGTTTTATTTTGTTTTTGTTTTTATCTTTTTGAGACAGGGTCTCGCCATACAGTTCAGACTGACCTTGAGCTCACTTTGTAGCCCAGGCTGGCCTTGAAGTCACAACGATCCTCCTGCCTCAGCCTCCCAAGTGCTGAGATTACAGGTGTGCACCACCACACCCAGCCTGAGACCATGGTTTTAATCTCTGTGACCTCAGAAGAAAAAAAAAAAGTTCAGGATTGTCAGTTAGCTTTGAATGTCAGAATAACACTGAATAATAATTTAAAAAAACAGTAAGTAACCAGGTATGGTGATGTACACTGTGATCCTAGCACTCAGGAGGCTAAAGCAGGATGATCAAGAAGAGTCTGTGGCCAGCCTGGGCTACATAGTGAATTCAAGGCCAGCTTGAACTACATAGTGAGATCTTGTCTCAAAACAACAACAAAAAACAGGTCGGGCGTTGTGGCGCATGCCTGTAATCCCAGCACTCGGGAGGCTGAGGCAGGAGGATCCTTGTGAGTTCGAGACCAGCCTGGGCTACAAAGTGAGCTCAAGGCGGCCTGAACTACATAGTGAGACCCTGTCTCAAAAAGACCAAAAAACAACAAAAAAAGTACACCCTACAAGTACTGGATGTTTGTTTGAGGTTCACGATTAACTGGTGTCCTTTATTCTACCTGGCGGAGAGTCCCGTGGGCGTCTCTGTCCACACGTGGCTCCGCAGGTCGGCGCAGAGGGGCACTGGCCCCGAGGGCGGCCAGTGGTGTGCACAGCCAGGAAGCAGCCTTATGCCCAGCTCTCAGCACCTCCCAAAGGGCAGAGACACAGGTCTGACCTCGAGTTAGAGTTAACCGGAAGTGTCGATTTGCTCAGCATTGTGAGCTGAGCGGTCACCGTCTCAGTCCTGGGCTTCTGCCCAAGGCCAGCACAGGGCTGGTCGCCAGCCCAAGGCCGCGCTTCCTGACCTTCCCAGGCCCTGGTGCAGAGGAGGGCGGGGAGGCCACTCCGGGAGACTGAGGCTGTGTCCCCACAGGCTGCCCGCCCACAGCCGAGGCCCTGCTCTACGGCATCCTGCAGCTGCAGCGGAAGATCAAACGCGAAAAGAAGCTCAGCATCTGGTACCGCCGGTAGTGCCCTACAGCCACTCGGCCCCGACCCACTGGTGCTGCCCGAGTGTCCCCGAGAGTGTGAATAAACCGAGACTGTAAATAAACCACCCCAGTTCCACGGGTGCCCCATGCAGTTGGGTGGGGGGCCCAGGCGGCCCTTGCCTGTCAGCTGGGGTCTCTTCTGCCTTTTTCATGGATGAAAATACCAAGGCCCAGAGTTGAATTACAACCCAGCTGCACCCTTTCCTAGGACTGTCTGGCTGTGGGACGGGAAGCCGGGGTCCCCTGACTCGGTCTCCCTCCCAGGCCCCACAGCAACAATGCCTGCCCTTGTCCCCACCCACACTGGGCCCCCTCGGGGTCGGGGCAGTGGCCTCTGGCCAACCACATGGCTGAGGCCGGTCACTGCCCCAGGCTTGTTTCTGAGTAGGGGAAACGGGGACCCACATATGGCCAAGGACAGGGGCTAAGGACAGGCAGGCCAGGCCCCTTCCCAGCTGTCGCAGTGAGCCCGCAGGGCCCCCAACACCCGGCCTCTACCTCTCCCAGCCCAGCACCCTCAGACGGTGCCCCGTCCTCCAGCCCGAGCCCTCCTCTGAGGACGTTCAGTGGCCAGGCCCTGGAGACTGGCTGCAGGTCCCCAGCATGAGCCACTGCGTATCAGGTGGCGGGAGGAAAGGGGGTCCGGGACACGGGAGAGTGCTGCCCCGCCCCGCCCAAGGGCAGCTTCAAGTCCAAACCACAGAGTGGGAAGGGTGCTCCAGGTGGAGGAAGAGCCCACAGGAAAGAGGGCAGCTCCCCTGGGGATCTAGAGGAGTTGAGAACTGGCTGGGGACAAGGCTGATGGCCCTAGGGGCCAGATGGGGCCAGGCTGCAATGGGAGGCAGAACACTTGAAGGCAGACAGGGCGCCCGCTGCGAGTTGACTCCCTAAGACTCCCCTCAGGGCCACCCCCTCAGCCCCTGCTGTGACCACTGGGAGACTGCCATGGCTGCCCAGGTAGGGACGTCAGAACAGTGGGGCCCACAAGACGATGACACTCACAGCTAAACACTCGGCCCGCCAGCCAGCTCGGCGACCACATTTATTTCACCCTCGTGCCCTGGAGGGAAACCATGGTGTCCGAGGTGGGGGCTGGAAGGCTGCGCATGTCCCGGCTGGTTCTCGTGCACCAGGGGGGCAGCGGCTCACTGCTTGGTGACCAGGGGTGTGATCATCTGCGGGAAGGCATAGTAGCGGCAGTCGGCCGGCGGCACCAGCCCCATCACCTCGGTGCAGATGTTCTCCCGCTGGAAGCCTGCTTCCTGCAGCGCTGGCACTTGTGTCTCCTGGTGGGACAGGTCTGGGTCACACAGGGCCACGGGCCCTCATCCGCACCCCAGGCCCAGCACTGGGAACACGGACACAAGCCCTAGCCTGGCATCCCGGGGACAGGACGCTCACTCCCACCTAGGGTGCCTGTGCAGGCCTGTGTCCTTGGCAGTGTGCCAAAACAAAAGAATCAGGACAGCGAAGGACCCAGAAAGTCATCCTCGGCACCATGGCATCCAGCAGGCTCTCCGGAGAGCACCTTAGAGGAACATGGTGGACAGAGACCTGGAGGGGGCAGCTGGACGGGCAGTGGAGGGCAGAGCGAATGTGAGGGGCTCGGGCTCAATCCCAAGGGCACTAGGGAGCCATGGGAGGTGGTTGAACTGGTGTGGGCCTTGTCTGGTTTCCAAGTGGAAAATGACAGCACAATCCAAGCCACCCACACCCTGTGGGAGGAAGGGCCCCTCCCTAGGACACACGGCAACTCCAGCCACCCACAACGTCACTGCCCAGCTTTAGGGTAGGAAGGTCGCACCTCAAACATGGTGGTGATGTCCGAGTACTTGGACTTCATGAGCTCTCCCCAGGAGGTGAGGTTGCAGTAGGTAAGTACGCCCCCTGGCTTCAGCAAGCGGAAGGCATGGTTCTGAGGGGACAACAGTGAAGAGCAGCTGAGGTGTGCATGGGGGCTCCCCACAGGACTGCACCGGGGTGAGTCAGGAAGGACAGGTGCCCAGGGGCCTACCCTGATGAAGTTGAACTGGTGCGTGTGCCAGGTCTCCTCCGACAGCGGGTACGTGTCATACAGGATCCCTGCACGGGGGATGCCAGCCCATCCGCTCAGTCACCGGCAGCCTCAGCCCACTCATCCCAGAGCTGAAGGCCAGACCAGCAGACCGCCCGCCTGCCTGCCTGGCCCTTGCATGTGTCCTCCTCTGCCTGCCCACCCAGGTGCTGCCCCAAGTCTGCAGCAGAGGTGGTGCAACTGCAGCCAGAGGCTGCCAGATAGGAGCTGGAGGCCCCACACTTGCCCCGTCGAGTGTCCTCCCCCGCCCAGCCCCGAGCCCCTCACCATCAAAGTGACAGTCTGGCAGTGTGGGCGCCACGTCCTCCCACAGGCCTTTCAAGGGGACAACCTTGAAGAGGGGAAGAAAAATAGGCTGAGGGTCAGGGAGGCCCCCAAGATCGATCTACCTGCGGAAAGGGACTCCCAAGGAAAAAGACCACCCTCCACCTCTGGGCCCCCAAGAGCCGGGCTAGCGGGTGGCACCTTGTGCGGCTGCTGCTGGGCCCAGGCCTGGAGCCGCCGGAAGACGCCATCATTACATTCAATGATCCAGTGCTCAGTGATGGGGGCCTCCTGCACCTTTGAGGCTGCAATGGCCATGCCGAAGCCCACCTCCAGGACCCGGCCCCCTGGGCAGACAGACAGAGGGCCCAGGCGTTACACACAGGCCCCCAGCTGGGCAGCTGCCTGGCGGAGGGGGCACCGAGTGGGGCCCTGTCAGTGGGTCACACTTGTTACAAGTTGGATGGACACAGCCATCCTGAGAGGGGCCAGCGTGGTCCCTGGCCAGTGGTCAGAGGGAGGGTAGCCAGCCAGGGAGGACTTGCACAGCTGGTTCTGAGCCCAGCCCCTGGGGCCTTGGACTTTGAGCCTATGCTCACTCTGTTTGTATTGGTGGCTCTTATCGCTGTAGTTGGCTACTTTTCTGTCCCCTTTCCTCTTTCCAGCTTGCAAGGACAAGGCCTGCTGAAACCAGGGAGGGGATGGTGTGGTTCCAAATTGGTCCTCTCTGTGCCACTCTGCTCAGACGTGCCCATTTGCCAGGTGGGACTACTGAGCCCCAGCACCCAGGTGCCATATGCTCATGTTCTGGACGGGCTTGTCTGGAGCTGGGGGGCACCTGGGCTCCAAACGATCAAGCAGTGCAGCACCATCCCACCAGACAGCTGTCTCCCTAGCTCTGCTTTCCTGAGCTATTCTTAGTTACAGCGGGGGCGGGGCCTCCCAGGCGGTGCTAGGCAGCCTCCTGACCCAAGACCAGCAGCTCAGATCCTATGCCCAGGCCACACATGGGGGCCGCATGCACGAGGTCCATCCGAGGTTGCGCGCCCCTCGATCCAGCCTAGGGAGGGGCCCTCCATCTCCCCGCAGGAATAAGTTCGAATTCCCACTGTGTGCGGGAGGCAGGGGGGCTCGTGCCTGCACCCCTCTCCTTTACTGCCTCCTTTACTCCACTACCAGCCCCATCACCCAGGCGAGGAAACCGAGGAACACAGAGGTGCTGAAGCACCGGGGCAGGACCTGGGGTTGCAAAGCCCGCCCCAGCCTCAGTTTGCCCCCGCGCCAGCGCGGGCGGGAGCTACCTCTGGAGGAGGCGGCGGCCGCTAGCGAGTGCATGTAGGGCGTCTCCCAGCGCTCCATCACCGGCTTGCCCAGGATTTCCAGGTGTGTGTCGGCCGCATCGTAGGCGGCCGGCGCCGCATGCCATGCAGGGGCGCAGTCCTCGCCCGGCGCGAACAGTGGGCTGGCGGCTGGGAGACTCATGTCGTGTCCGAGCTAAACCAGGCTAGAGGTGGCTCGGACTTCTGGGCCGGGGGGCGGGACCGCCCGGGGCCTTCTGGAGGGGCGGGGCGGGCGGGGTCGGGGTGGGGCCTTGGGGACGGTCCCGCCCCCTGGACGGGCAGGGCTTGTGGCCGGAGCCTTCTGTGAGAAGCGGTGCTGATAAGGGCGGGGCCAGGGCCTTCGGAGAGGGGCGAGGTCGGGGAGGGGCCTTCCGTTGGGGGTGGGGCCGATCGAGGGCTTTCTAGACAGGGAGGTGTAAGGGGCGGGACCTTGAGGCTGAGCCCGGCCCTTCTCGGTTAGGCGGAGCCGGAGGCGTGGCCTTGTGGCGGGGCGGGGAATGTGGGCGGGGCTGGCGGCCCGAGCTCGATACGCGGCGGCACAGCGACCTCTGGCGGCGAGTGCAGAGGGAGGCGGCGGAGCGGGGCTGGCGGGGCGCGTATCCTCGCTGGGTCTCCCCGGAAGCCCTAGCTGTCTCGCCCTGCGTCCGCCCCCTGCAGTCCCCACCTAGGCGCTAAGCGGCCACGCTTTCCTCCTGAGTCACAGCCGCAGCAAGCTCCCGTTTCGCAGCAGTGTGGGGAGCATGACACTGATTCTCCGCACTGTTGGAAAGTGCCTAGAGTGTTTAAAATCATTTCATCTTTAGAGTATGCCGTAGTGGTTTCTGCTGTTATCCCCATTTTTGAGATGGGGAAACTGAGGAAGCTAGAAGCAACACCGGAAACCAAGCTGGTGGAGGCAGGAGTTTGAGAACAGAACATTCATTACCAGCCCAACCTGGACAATTTAGTGATATATGGAGTCTCTGTTTTAAAAAAAATAAAATTAAAAAGGGGGCGCTAGAGATAAATCTCACTACAAAGGCCCTGGGCTCAGTCCGGAGTACTGAAAAACAAAGCGCAGCCCCTACTTTAGAACTATATTAAGCACAGTCCTGCTTGCCGGGGTCACCTGAGACCCAGGATTTTTTTGTTTTTGTTTTGTTTTGAGACAGGGTCTTGCTCTGTAGCCTAGGCTGGGCTGCCACTCGTGCTGATCCTCCTGCCTCAGCCTCCCAAGTTCTGGGATTACAGATGTGCACCACCGGGCTGGGGATTTAGCTCAGCGGCAAAAGCGCCTGCCTGGCAAGCGCAAGGTCGTGAGTTCGGTTCCTGGTACCGGAGAAAAGCCCCCCCAAAAAAAACAAAACAAAAAAAAAACAGATGTGCACCACCGTGTCCAGCAGCCCCAGGACCTTGACTGGGACTCAGGCCCAGTCCCAGGGGGGTCTGTCCTTAGAAAGTCGGGAAAGTGGGCCTTGTCTCCTGCTCCCAGGGGCACAGGCAGCCTTTGCCCCAGCCCAGGGCCACTGCTTGGAGTCAGTGGTACCCTGTGTGCCTCCCTGACTGTGATATGTGGCTTCCTCTTTCCCATGGGATCCTGGAACCAGGTCATGAGGGTTGAGCACCCGATCCCTGCTGAGTGCTTTGCACAGCTTCCTGGATGGGGCCTGTTCTTACTCCCATTTAATACACAGAGAAACTGAGGCCTGGGGAAACTGAAGTCTGGGAACTACAGAGCTGGGGTGTGAACACAGACAGCCTCCTATGCAGTTGGGTGCCTGACTTCTTCCTGCATCTGGAGGCTTCTATCATTTCCAGATGTATGCTGAGGTCACAGCTCTGCTCACAGCCGGGCCTGGGCACCAGATGTCTGAACCTTGCAACCCCTGGACCTTTGCACAAACCGTTTGCCTCCTCTGGGCACTTCACTGCCTGAAAATATTTCTTCGTGGTTGTGTGGTCCCTCTGACAGGGCCACTTATTAAGCCTGGTACACAGAGAGTGCTTGATAAATATTGAGGAGCCAGGCATGATGATACATTCCTGTCATCCCAGTACTCTGGGAGGCTGAAGCAGGAGGACTGCAAGTTCAAATCTAGCCTGGATACTCTGGTTTCTCTTCAGATTGTATATATCTTTTGCCTTTTACAAATCTAGCCTGGGCCATTTAGTGGGTTAGCAAGACCCTCTCTCAAAATAAAAAACATGAGCTGGGCATGGTGGCACATCCCTATAAGCCCAGCATTTGGGAAGCTGAGGCAAAAGGATTGCCACAAGTTCAGGGCCACCCGAGGTCACATCATGAGTTCAAGGCCAGTTTGACGTACATCACAAGACCCTGTCTCAAAACAAAAACACAAAAACGTGAGAAGGACTGTGATGTAGCTCAGTGAAGGCCCTGGGTTCCATCCATAGCATTGCAAGAAAAAAAGAAACAAAGACAATAGGTGGTAGTTACTAAATGACATCAACTCAAGAGATGCCCTGCAAAGTCCAAGAAAGAAGGCATACTGTATTAGTTAGCTGTTGCCATGTAACAAATGACTCCCAAATATAGCAGTGAAAAATAATGCAGACTTGTTTCAGTGTCTGTGGGATGGGAGTCCACTCACAGCCAAATGGAACAGAGTCCTAAATCCTCAGCTCCTCATATGGTTGTAGTCAAGTTATCAGTCAGAGCCAGGTGTGGTGGTGCACACCTGTCCTTCCAGTGCTTTGGAGGGTGAGGCAGGATTGCCACAAGTTCAGATCCAGCCTAAACTACATAGCGAGACACTGTCTCAAAAAAAATAAATAAAAATTCTATTTTTATTTGGCCACTTGGTACAGACCAAACTGGTTACAGCTGCTAACCACAAGTCACATCCTAACACAGTAATTTATTTTTTTCTTTCTTTCTTCTT